ACCAGTGGACTGGGGTCAAGTTATGGACCTGCTCACCTGTTTTCTCGCAATAGAAAGAGACCCCTCCTTCTCTAACTAGGCCACAGGGACCACAGAGCAGGTGGGAATCCCTGGGAGGCTCGCCTAAGGCACAGGCGGCTGGCCCCACCCCAGAGCATCCGGAAGCCTGGGCCTCCCCATTGAGTCTGCACTTGTAACAATTTCCCAGAGATGCTGATGCTGTTGATCAGGGACTGCACTTTGAGAAACACTGGGTTGAGGGTTAAAGGGTTAAAAGGCATGATTATTCTGAGCGCCTCAGGTTGGAGAGAATTCAGGAAGTACAATGTTTCTTTATCTTTTCCAAGAGCATCCTCAGGGGAGCGTGACTGAGAAGCGCTGTACTTCCTGAGGGGGCTGCGTGTGCACACATTGCAATGGCATAGGCCATTAGGGCTCCTAATGGATGGAGGAATTCATGAAGTATCTGGCATGAGGCTTTGTGTATCATTAGATTCCTTGAGCACACAGCTTGGCAGAGGGCATCCAGAGTGATGAGCTGTGAAGGAGGTGGAGGTTCAAAGCACATCCCCTTCCTTTTTTTTCCTTCTCATATGATTTGTAGTATGATTTTATTGTTGTTTTGCCAATTTTATCATTCATTTTAGTTCCATAAATAGGCAGGTCATTCCAAAACAGGCATAAATGATTTTAATTTTAATTAGTGTTTCCCTATCAGACAAGTAACAAGCTAATGACAATGATATATTAGCTACTTCCTTTTTCCTTTTGCTCTCCAAAGACACTTTTTCCAAGTACAACACGGCAAGTTAACATTCCCAACTCACACAGGGAATAATGCTGGACTCAAAGAATGTCACTATTGCTGCAGGCAAGTCAGACGATTGAGGCCGAAACTTTCATTTTGCTCCAAGGCTTAAATACAGGTTTTAAAGTAGAATCCCTTTTTTTTTTCAACTTGCCCGGTAAAATTTATGTTCTGCTCATCGGTATTCATTAAGTCAATCACTCATGTGCCAATATTGGCCAGTGTCGGGGGACCACTGAAATGACAAAGTCTGAGTTCTGCAGCACCGAGCTTACAGTCCAGGGGAGGAGACAGGCATGCAAGCATTTAGCCAGAGGGAAAAGCAGAATGCAAGAGCCGTATCACAGCAAGATTCTGAAGGCGCAGAGAGGAGTAAGGTTGATACCAAGAGAAAAGAGCGCACCCACAGAGCTAAAGAGCAGCTGTGGAGGGAGGGGAAGGGAACGCTGAAAACCCAGGTCCACGGTGAACTGACACTGCAGGGTTTGGGCTGTTTCTGTGAAAGGCAGCAATTAATATGCGGTCTCACGTCACTTGTGCAACACAAAATTGTTCTGATCTCAGCCATCTAAGGATGTTACAAACAGCAGACACCGTGAAATGGTACAATAAGACTCAATTCTGAATACCTATGTATCAGCTCATAACATGAGAAGTGCTCGGTCTCTCCAACCCACCCCCCACAAGAAAAGTTATTTCTACACTTAAAGATCAGAGCATCAAAATAAATGGCTAATGACGTCAAGGGTGTTGAATTAAATCCTTATTTATGATATGTATCAGAAACCATTTTTCTTACTGCTTTTTGTTTGGTGAGATTCACCCCACAAAAGATGAGAGGCTAAGAAAAAGTCAAGTAGCAGGCAGAAGAGGAAAGGGCAGAGGAATGAGTTCAGCCAGGCCAAGAGACAGGGCAAGAAAAATGGGTAGAGGTGGTGGGGATCAGAGAGAAGGCTGCACTTATTCAAAACAAGGCTAGAGAGTCATTTTTGGGGCTGACAAACGTTAAGAATCACAAAAGAATTCTAGAACTGGAAAGATCATAGCAGTTCAGACACAGACTGACAAATTAACAAATGACTCTTTAAAAGTACTATGTCAACAGCCTAGTCACATGTTGTTTTATTTTGGATCAGCAGGTACACCACAGGGACGATCACTACGGAAAAATCCTCTGGAAGCACCTTTGAATCCCAACACGAGAACACTGCCTGCACATAGTAGATGCCCAGTAAATATCCACAGACTAAATGAGTGACTGTTTCCTTATTACATATAACATGCAATTCATTCTTTCAGCCCTTTCAATACTTACTAAACCTCTTCTCTATAAAAGATATTTTGTAAAATGCAAAAGGAGATACAAAAATGAAAAAGATACAACGGGTATATTCAAAGAGCTCACTCTAGCATACAGAAATAGCTGTAACAAAGCTTTGCAGGACTAATCACAGTAGGCAAGATAAAGTGCTAGCAGATGTGGGAGGAGAGAGGGTCAGACCAGCAGAACAAAGGTGAGGCCAGCATGCGCACCTCAGCAGGTTCCTACCGCCACCCCCCGCACTTCCCCCATTCTTCTACTGAGCAGATCTAGAAGAGGGGCAATAGAGGATGAACTTCATGACAGCCACCTGAGGGACACCAAACACAGGACAAGGAAGGAGGTATGATTCTGCTTGGATGGCTCAGTTCATGTGGCAGGAGAGCTCAGGCAGGTGATGTCTGCACCACTCTGAATCGAGGGCCATGAGTCACCAAGTCCAGATACTGCTGGGTCAGTTCCATGAGGCTGGCTCCTGAGAACTCGTAAGAAAGTGAAAATGGGGTTTCTCCAAAGTCAGAAGTTTCCTGTAATTAATTTCTTAGAGTTTAGAGGGTACGTGCAACGCTTCTACACCAGGTCAGACACTGCCTTGGGGAGTGATGCGGACTCTCTGCACACTGGCTGAGCCTGCAGCAGTGGGGACATGGGGTCTGCCATATGGCTCGGAGAAGCTGCCCAGCGGGGTTTCAGAGAACTAGGAAAGCCAGCAAGAGCAGGTGGACTTTGAGCAGGTTTCAGCCAGTGCACATGCGGTGGGATGCAGAAGGAGGAAGGGCATTCAGGATGGATGTAACAAAGCCCAGAGGTGGGAAAACATGAAGCAAAATTGAGTTAAGAAGCAGGAGCACAGCTAAGGAATGACAGACTGGAAAGATGAGCTCTCAGAAGACCTTGGACAGTACCTTTTCATGAACCTCACTTTCACCTGCCAAGGTGAGAAACTGACAATGGCTTAGCAGTGGCAGCTAATTTCTAAATGCAAAGCAAGACTACTATTTTATTATAATTTTCTGAGTGGCTTAGGTTTAAACTTCAGGCAACCGAGTAACTCTTCAGACCAACCCACCCAGAAAATCAGAATGACCTTTGGCTAAGAATGCCTACTCCTCAGGCATGTTTCTTTGCATGTCCATCTTTTGCTCCTTTGGGGCTGGACAAATTCTACTCGTCTTGTTATCAAAGGCGCCTGGCACAGTGTACAAACTGAATTTCTGGGCAGTACCTTGCCCAAACACCACACTCCTCCTGTCTTCCCCATGTGGACGGTATTTCGTAATAGTCAGAAGCTTGGACTGGCACATCAGATAGAACTAGTTTTGAATTCTAGCTCAGCAAAGGCACAGGGAAGTCACAGGAACAGCAAAAATAACATGGCCTGAACAAACAGAGGGGGCGAGAAGGTCGTGGGGGAAACAGGCTAGCCTCTGACCACTGCCTGCCCTTCTTCCTGCACCCCTACAGCAGAAAACAGAGATTCCCCTCTGTACTTACTACCCGGGCTGTGCAGAAAACCCAGAAATAAATGCAGCATTTGCAAATAAATTAAATATTAAAGGCAACATCACAATCTCATGTTGGAAGAGGCACTTCACTGATAGTATATAGCAGCGTTTGCTGAACCACAAGATAGGCAATGTTATCTATGCTGAGAAAAATCAATCATTTCTCATTTCTACTTCTCCAACAGCCTGTTTGGGTTCCATCCTTCATTTCAAGTTTATTTCAAATTTAAAGGGTGAAAGGGGCATACAATTACAGCATATAGAGAGCTTGAGAACAAACCTTATTCTGAGTACTTATTAAGTGTCACTAAACATCTTTCAGCTGATAGGTGGGGAAAGTAAACCTCCTAAACCACAAAGCAAACATTCTCTAAGTATTTGTGTATTTGCATTTTTATTTCTTTTCATGTTAATATTAAAGAGCACCTGTTTCCTAGAGGAAATTTCATTATTTGAAATTATTGTTTACAAGAAATGAACCAGAAATTCTTACTCTCCTTAAATAAAGCATTTAATTGAACTCAGAATTACTGGATTGTTTACTTCAAACAAACAAAAAGGCACTCTGTCCTCTTTTGGTACAACCAGGCCCTGCTAAAGCCACTGATGTGTGTGGTCTCCCAAATAAAAATCTATCCAGATTTGTGAAGTTACTAATAACTTAGGAAGATTTCAAAACTCTGTTTTTGTAGATCAGTCTGAATTAGAGTTGGAAATAATATTTTAATCATTTAATTCTCAGTGTTAAATGTAAAAAGAAACAAAATTTTCCCGCTTGACACAATTTAGGAAGGCTGGCTTACAAGCTTTCCACTTACTCCAAGGACAGGTGAAGAAAAAAAACTTTATTTATTATGAATATCAGATATGATTTGCTATTGGCATTATCAAATCAAGGACTAGGACACATTTTCTACTTATTTCTGGCCTCAAGCCTGAAGGCCTAAAGATATCTGACAAAAAAACAGAATAAATCAAAGATAAGGACTAATTATCCTTAGCAATATTTGTTTTGAGACAGTCCAAACAGCCAACACTATGAAAGGCTGCAGTGTTGTTATGTTCAATGTTTTTTTAGAGAGGTGTGTATGGTTTCTCAAATCCCTGTTTTCTGTATATTTATTGAGACTGCATTCACTGGTGAAGTCTGGAATGGAACAATAAAGGCAACTCCCAGTCGTGAATCTGCAATGAACTGGGTCCCAACAGTGAAGTTTCAAGCATCTCTCTCTTATCCAACTTCCCACAGGCTTTTTTTTTTTTTCCCTGAGGAAGATTAGCCCTGAGCTAACATCTATGTCAATCTTCCTCCACTTTATATGTGGGTCGCCACCTCAGCATGGCTTGATGAGCAATATGTAGGTCCGTGCCCAGGATTTGAACAGGTGAACCCAGGCTGCTGAAGCAGAATGTGCCAAACTCAACTACTGTGCTACAGGCCCAGCCCTCCACAGGCATTTTTTAACAGTTTAAATGAACATTTATATACACTCCTGCTGCATACATTTATCTTGGTGAATAGTACTTATCTGAGTGGTTGGGAAAAGGAAAAACAAAGAGATCTCATCATTTTTCTTTCACAACTACAAAAGCTGCTATGCTAGGGTGTGCTTCCTACTCTGAACACCAGAAGCTGTCCCAAGGCCCCTGAACACATCTGACCCTTATTAGAAACTGTCACCCATGAATTGTTCTGTCTGTGGCCTGCCCCAACCTCCACGCCTCTTGTCTTTCAATTACGCCAGCAGCAAGCCACATTGAGAAAATTTATGCTTAAGACACTGCATCATGTCTCCCAATAAAACTGAGGAAGCAGTGATGAAAGGCTATAAAGCCAATGCAGTGCAGACGGCTCCCAGATGACCTTTCAGAGGAAGAACCTCTGCAGTGGAGATGACCGCAGCCCCGAGAAGAGCTGATTCAGGGTGGTCCCCTGTGTGAACATGGACTGCCCCTTCTCCTGCAGACCCGAACTACTGCCTTGCTCTCTTCAGGTTGCTAAGATGGTTGCTTCAAGAGAAAAATCACCTAACAGTGAGTTTGGGAATTTGTCTTCTAGATAAGACAAATTTGGGATTTCCAATCTCAAGTGGTCCTTAGGGCCATTTAGAAATTCTTCTTATCTTTCCCAATTTAGGGAATGGACAAAAGCTGGTAAAACAGGCTCTGGTCAAAGGTTTGGGACCGAATCCTAACACTGTGCCCACTGTGGCCTTGCCTTGCTTTACTAATCAGGATAGTGCTTCTGGATTATTTAGGTGCACTTCCTTTGAGGGTAGTAAATGGTCAATGTTTTTTCAATGATCTATCTGTAGGTAATTTCTCCAAGCGTAGTTGCTACATTGGTCAAGTGAAGATGACAAGAGTAACTACTCCTCATGAGCTGTTCTCAGGGTTAAAAGAAATAACATCTGGGGCCAGCCCTGTGGCTGAGTGGTTAAGTTCGCATGCTCCACTGCAGCGGCCCAGTGTTTCGTTGGTTCAAATCCTGGGCGCGGACATGGCACCGCTCATCAAGCCATGCCAAGGTGGCATCCCACATGCCACAACTAGAAAGACCCACAACTAAGAATATACAACTACCTACCGGGGGGCTTTGGGGAGAAAAAGGAAAAAAGTAAAATCTTTTAAAAAAAGAAAGAAAGAAAGAAAGAACATCTATAAGAGGTTCCACACAGAACCTGAGAGCTAAGCAATGCTGCCCCACCTGTTCCCAAACCTTCCCACTCCCCAGCCCCACTCCTCCCATTCTAACGACAGCTGAGCCTCTTCCTTCGCCCAGGTAACAGGGCCATCGGGCGTAAAATGCCTCAGCTGCCCTGCCCTCCCCTCCACCTTCAGATCCACAGTTTCAAAATACTTACGCTCATAATTACTCAGAAATTCTATACCTGTGGATCTGCCACACCTTATTCAACGCATTGAGAAAAAAGCCTATGTTACCATATCACAAACTAATTTTTAAAATATTTTATTAAGTGCACTCCAATATTATTATTTCCTTTGTAATCCTGTGTATTTTATTTTAAATATTTAAAAACATTTTTCTGAAAAGAGATCCACAGGCTTTACTAAAAACTGCTAAAGGAGTCCACGAAACAAAAGAGTTAAGAACCCCGACACGAAACAATTAAAACAGTCTCCAGTCACTAGGAACACAGGGATTACAGCCATGCGCACATAGCGAGAGAGCCTTCAATGAATAAGCAAAAATGAAGAACAGCATGTTTAGACTAGTGGCATCCTGGCTTTCTCTTTTTCTTTGTTAACGTTGTTGTTTTATTGTTTTTACAATAATAATAAAAAAGGATAGGGCATAAACCGTGATATCTTTAGAGCTATTTTTTTCCTCTCCTATCATTTCAGAATCAGAACCGGCAGATGTGCTCCCACAATGAACCAGACACCACGTACGACCCTCAGTTTCCCAGTCTTTGCAAGTAGCTATGAACAAGTCATAAAAAGGGGTGGCTGCAACAGAGGAGGAAGGTCATTCCTAACATGCAGATTTTCTTCATGAAAATAACAATACCTTATCTACATTATCTACAATGTTTGTCTGTCATGAAAAATTGGCTGACCAACTTCAAACACATATTAGACTGGCCCAGCAATTAACTCTTCAGCCAAAAGGTGAGAACATTAACTTGTTTTAAAAGTTCATTTTGATTGAAAGTAAATATTTTTCAGATGCTAGACCACATCTTACTTATTCTTGGCATAGCTTTTATAATGAGCTTTTCACTCTCCATTTCTTAATGGAATTTTCTCAACATTCAAAAATTCCATTTCTGTGAGATCCTTTCAAACAGAACAGGGAATTACCCCAGCAGATGTCTGAAAGAACGTGTTCATACTCTAAGAGACATTTACTGCTTATATTATGGCTCACTGGCAATCGTAAAACTAAAGTGTGGTCTTCTATCATTCACATTACTTTTTTAAAAGATGAAGATAATCCAGTTCATCCTGAATTTCACACAGCTCTATTTCTCCCCTGCGTATGCCTCTGTATGAAGAGAGAGCCCCTTAGCTGGTCCATGCAGCAGGAGTCCATTCCGCTTCGGGGCAGTAAAATATAAACTGCTTTTGTTTAAGTGTATGTACATATATATTTTAGTGCTACAATTCTGAGGCCAAGGTGGTACTTTTCAATGGTAAATTATAAAGAAAAAACATTCTTATTTGGAAGCCTCTTCAAACGGCCCTGGTCAGATTAGTGTAAAATGAGGAAACAGAAGAGTTCATGGCCTCTAGGTTTTTTTGAAATAAAGGTAAGATTCAGGGCTCATAATCCTTGCTGGTATCTGGAGCAATTTTCAGGCTCACTCAAACCCTTTCCCGCTCCCTGCCAGAGCCTGCAGTTTGAGCTCCAGCCCTCCCTCGAGGAAGCAGGGGACCTGGGCGAGTTCCCAGGTGCCCCTGAGCCTCAGTTTCTGCAGCTGTACTTTGCAGGATCACAATTCCTGAGAATTCATGGGATAATGGATACAGAAGTGCTCTCTAAAGATAAAAGGCTCTCCAAACATGGCCATTGTTACTATTTTCTTTAAAAGATGAGGGGAAAAAAATAGCGGAATGGGATAATATGTCAGTTCTTTTCAAGTTGCCAAAGCAAAGGCACAAGAGCTTGGGTATACGATGCAGATGGGAAGAAAATCAGATCACACCAGTTATCAGGGAGGGTACCACCAAAGGACAGAAGGAGTGGGACTTCTAAAAGAATCTTCACTAACAGTGTAGCAGCATTCGCTGACCCTGGGGCTGGAGCGCTGCGTCAGAACAAGCATCAGCAACTCTCCTTAAACCAATCTGTACCAGGTTCCCTTGTCCGGCCTCATTCAGCGCCAGGTGATTTTTTTCTGCAGACTCTTGCCAGGTGGGAGCTGATATGTTCATTCTTCAATCCCAGCTTCCCATTTCAATGGCAGGTGTGATGACACAGCTTAACTCTTCATCACCAGAGTATGTTTTTCAGATTCATTCTTATGAAGAGAGGGGGCAAAAATCTCCTTAGCAGATTCAGGGTTTTCATCCAGGACTCTGAAGTATTTTCTTCATTTTTTCTGCTATAGCCACATTTAGTAAACTATTTTTTAAAGCAGGGTCACTAAAACCATGTATCTATCTAGCACTCATCAGAATAGAAGAAACTAGATATATGGGTTCACAGACCCTTCTTAAAGTAGAGGGAGCACGTATTTATGCTTTCTTCTAGGGGGGAAAACTCTTTAAATGATTTTAAGGGAAGTTTTTAATAAAAAAAAAACTATTAGTGGGGTGGAACAATTATTCAGTTCTAATACTAGACTTGTGTGAAGTTTGGCAAAAGGTCACACAGGGTTTTCCCATTTCTCTCAAGTGAATTTAGACCTCCACGTTGGACTTGTATCTGGGTAAAGCCGTTCCCAAGAAAGTGACAAACTGAAAGTTTCCATTGAAAAGCATCTGAGAGCCCCCAGGGGAGGAAGAGTCACCTGTTCGGGTTCACCTGAAATATTCCTGAACTCAGCAGAGGATCAGATTAAAAGCAGAGCCTCCAAGCAGAAGAGGTTTTTGGTCCCCCCCACCCCGTTTTAGGCTTTATAACGATCTTTTCACAACTTGGCCCATCTGCTCATAAAATGATTCTATGTCCTACCAGGATTATATTTTACCTTGCAAACTTTTACCTAACGAACAAGAACAAGATGTACGATTAATTCTTCCCCTTGCAGGTAAAGTGTAGTTATCAGTAACCACATATGAGAAATCGTGACAGTGGTTTGATATTGTGGTGTGTGCCTATTTCTTGAAAGTGACAGTTGGACACAATGGATATATATCATAAGAAACATAAACTCTTACAACATGAGTCAAAGAAAAATATGCTTAGGAAGTTCTATCTGTCGGGGTAAAGGGTATACACCACATGTCTCGAGGTCAAGTGAAAATGGTGCTGTTGTTTTGACTGATTCCTTGTACTGAACCTTCTGTGGGAAGGTCAAACGGTGCATCACTAAAAAATCTAGTTCATTCCAAAGCTATTCCTCCATCTGACCACACCAGACACCAATGTAAAGGAAGCTTAACTCTTCTGAAAACATTTTAAACCTGATCAAATTAAAAGCAGCACCAGAGGGATTATTTTTCTTAGGAAGAACCCACAAGCAATTTACTTGACTAGAGGAAAAAATGCAAAGAAATCCTTTATCACAAAATAGCTTCTTGAATCTTTCCACCAATAAACCTTCTACCCATCCAAGAATGCCTATCCTCCCTGCTGATAACAAGCTGTGCAGATAAATATTTTATTTTTTTCTATAAAACCCCAAATGATGTTTTCAAATAAAATAAAAATAAAACTGCTACATGCCACTGTCAAAAATGGTCCTAGAAGAGGTAAATGTCATTTTGAAGGTTGTGTGTTAAAATATTTAGGAGAAAGAATCTACTTGTCAAGTACCGACAGAAAGCTCTGAAGAGGTTAGAAGTGCATCCATCAAACTTTTATCCACCTTGGGGCTGACCTACCAGGGAAACTGTGGAAAGCCTGGCCTTGCGTTCTGAGGGAGCTGGAGGTTTAGAGTTCTGGACAATAACAGGGGCACAATTAAGTACAAAGTGGGGCTTGAGAGAGACTGCAACGATTCCCCCGTGGAGGCACACTGGCAATGGGTGGCAGGCAGCTGCATTCTGCTTTAAGCCACAGTTCAAGCTAAAGAACTGAACCCATCTGCTGGACCATCAAACTCCCTTGAGAGAATGCTGACCTCTCACTCCAAACCTAGCAAGAACCCATCAAACATTAGCAAAAGAAAGGCCAAGCCAGCAAAACATGGGAAGGACTTTTTTTTAAGTCTAATTTAAATAGCTTCCATACTCTACGCTCTGGGAATTACGTTCAGTAACTTTTTTTAACAAGGAAAATTTGGTTTTAAGGAGCTTATGGGAACATTTAACTTGGACTGGAAAGGTTATTTTCTCAGTGTTAGGCTAAAAGCCAAAATCCACTTTTAGCCAGAGATGATTTTAATATTATACCTCACAAGAGCATTGTGTCATGTGAGCAGGCGGCAGCGATAAGCAGTGTAGTAAAGTTATGACTTCCCCCAAAGACTCATTAAAATGTATTATTAAGTAGAAAAAAGTTCAGAAAATCCAAAGGAACCCGTCTGTACTATTTCAGAAACCGTAAAAACGCTTTCCAACTTATCACTTTTTTTGCTCTGCCTCCTCTACAAATACCACTAAGTAAATACTGTGAAGAACTCGATCCTGATGCAAAACAGGATGAAAACGCCTTAAAGTCATGTGCCACTACCATGCTCTGTATGTAATTTTCCCTTTAAATGTGCTATGGAAGAAAATATGACAAATTCAAGAGACTGTAAAAAATAATAAACCTGCGACGATGCCATGATTTTTTTAAATTATTCAACCCCCAAAATACATTAAAATATGTAAAGTTAGAAACGGTATCTCAAAGAAAAATAACTTTTTCCTATTTTAATAATTCTAAATTTTAATAACTCCAATATTTTTCTTCTTCTCTTCTGTTTTGGTCTTTAACTCATCAAATTTGTTTCCCTTCATCGATTCTTGAAAATTTTCTCCCACCTCTTCAACTAAAAAAAAACGTAATGACTTAATTTAAGTCAAGCAAATGTGCCTTAGAAAGCCTGACCAAATAGCAACTTTCTTACCCAACCCAGCAAGAATGTGCAAGCACACTTGCAAAGGCGTTCCAAGCTGCTATGGAAACGACATTCCTTCTTCACAATAACAGTACTCCCGGAGGACTGCGGGCGTGCAAGCTCCCAGTCCAAGCCCACTGACAGCTTGTGGAGTGGACAGATGAGGCGTGGAAAATATTTTAAATTAGTTCATTTATCTTGTTGAGACACAGGAAACGGCAACAAATTTCTCACACGAAAAAAAAGAATAGAGAAAGACAATACATCCCTAGCAGTGCGCAGCAAATTTAGTCCATTAAGTCAAACCCTTCGGACTGTTTTGTACTGCCTAATAACAGCCACGTGTCCGATCCTGAGGGAATTTTTTACGATCAAAAGATCCAGAAGGATGCCTCGAAATCACTGACTGCTTCTGATTTTTTTGATGGACTCAAATTTTAGATGTCAAATAGTTTTCAAATCAATGTTTTCTGACTTATCCCAGGTAGATTTGGGTCAGTACTAATTCTGACTAATAAGTCTAGAAAATTGCAATACAGAACTGAAAGTTCTTAAAGGAGAGCTCAAAAACGCTACATTTTAGGGTAAGCTGCGCAAAGATCACTCAGGAGAGGATGCGACCCTTCCCTACGAGGCAGTGGACGAAATGGCCTTTGCTCTAAGTCCCCATTCCATGGTTGAGACCCCAGGAGCTTTTGGCTTCGTGGCTCCTTCCCACGTGAGTGTCTGCCACTGCACCACTTCCACACTGGTCTGTCACCTCCTACTTCCTGAGTCCGCCCCAGGAGGACAAAGCAGGGGCTTCAGGCCTGCAAGGAGAAGCAAGTGGACACAGGGCAGCCAAACGCTTGTCCCAGGATTGGCTGCACCAGCATCACTGGGAATCAGGGAATTGTGTTGCCAAAACGGTCCTATCCCCTCAACTAGAACCTCTGATTTGTAGGTTTGAACAAGAGCCCAAAAGTCTGTATTTTTAATATGCGCTCCCAAGCCAGATTTGGAAATCACCACAGCATCCCAAAACAGTCTCCTTCATGAACCAGAAGCAGATAGAATTCTGAAAAGCTATGCACTCCCTTGGATAATTTTAAGTAGACATAAAATTTCTCATCATAACTAAACAATTGTGAAAGTGATCATTCTTGTGTATTAAATATTGACATTTAGAAATAAAACACATATCTCTAAATACCATGGTGAATTGATACCTCCATCATCCATCAAAACAATAAAAGAACAGACTCTTCTTTAACAGATTTTACAGCATTCCTTATTCTCTTTAAACTCGTATTACTTCTATTCCACTCTCGCCACAGAATTTGATCTGAAGATACTTTTATGCTCAAAACTCTTTTATTGACCACTCTACCATAATCCTCTGATTAACAAAAATATGCATATTAATTGAAGTTTCGGTTTTTTTAAATTTCCTATGACAAGGCTCTTTGTTAAAAAAAAAAACCTTATGATTTGAATAACAATTACACTTATTTTCAATTTATAACTGATCAAAGCTAAACATATATTACAATATTGGTAATTATTAAAGTAAAAAAGTAAGTTTTTATTGGAAACGTATCTCTTAATCAGATGGACATGAAGATTTTTTAAATTAGCTTATGTAAGTATGGGTATATACCACACATGCTAGAGTGAGACAGGTTTCAGTGTCATTTTAATTATATTTTTCTTTAAAAAAAAAAGCATTCACATTAATAAGTTGATAGGATTGGAGTCTTGTTCCAGCAATGTCTCTCAATGCTTTTGAACTCTTAACGAGTTATACGCCTAAATGCACACCAGCCATCATCCATCGCTGTCTATCAGCTGACATCCTTTGGGTACTCCTTCAATTTCGTCAGAAGTAAAGAAAAGGAGCGACCCGAGTTGCAAATAAATACTTGTTACCCAGTCATTACATTCATTCCCTTTTCCAACTTTACTAAGGCCAGTATTCTGCATCATTCCTCTGTTTAGCATGCCAGAGGTCTTCCACCATGCAGCAGGGTACCACAGTAAGATTGGAGTTGGATGAGAGTTAAGTGGGAGACTGACTGTGAGGGGGAAGAGCACAGAAGACCCTGTAGCCTGCAGGCCTGCTCTTAGGCAGATCAACTTTAGGGAAAAGCATGAATTATCCTTGTACCTGTCCTTATGAAGGGTATGCGGGGGGTGTGCACAGTTTGGAGGTGCCTGCCAGATGACCCTGAGTTTTATGATCCTGGGGTCTTCTGGTGGCAGCTGCAGAGTTACGCAAGGTGAAGAGCACTCTGACAGCACCTCAGATGGGAGGAGGGGCTGAACAGGGCGGTGCCTGACGCAGCATTTACTTCCCAAGGGAGTGAGTGTGGCAGAGGAGGTGAGGAGGGGCTGGAGCAGAGAAGGAGGGCGAGCGTCTCTCTTAGAGCAGCCTATTCCAAAGTGGACTGTCCTGTCTCCGCCAGCCTCACTTTTCCATAAAGATTCCAGTGAGAGACACAGCACAAAGTGTGGATAAGTACTCCCCTCTGTGACAGAAGACATATTTACTCAACAGAGTAATAACTATTTTGAGGCCAGTGTTGCAGCAAACCATGTTCATAAGAGGACACGCAATCAACATCCTGTGTGGCCTCACTCAGAAATTCACAATGAGGGCCAGTGGAGTTCTAAAATACAGAAACATCTACCAATTCTTAAAACTTCCCTGCTTGCTCTGGGATTCAAATGTACCAGAGATGACTAACTTTTTAAAATGAAAAATAATCAAAGAAAGAAAAAGAGAAAAAACTAAGTTCCTCCACTGCATGCTCCATTCACTTCAGGAGGGGTTCACATAAAAGCCTGTGTTCTGGGGCCGGACCCGTGGCTGAGTGGTTAAGTTTGCACGCTCCGCTATGGCGGCCCAGGGTTTCTCTGGTTCAGATCCTGGGTGCGGACATGGCACCGCTCATCAGGCCACGTTGAGGCAGCATCCCACGTACTACAACCAGAAGGACCCACAACTAAAATATACAACTATATACTGGGGGAATTTGGGGAGAAAAAGCAGAAAGAAAGAAAAAAAAAGATTGGCAACAGTTATTAGCTCAGCTGCCAATCTTAAAAGGAAAAAAAAGTGCCTGTGTTCTATAAATGCTAAAACTGTCTCACCACACAGTCTGAGAAGAAAAACACAACAACAGGAAGAAATGTTACAAAGCCCACACTCCTGTGAGCAGAGGAGGATGCGGGACCCTAACCCTGACCCCACTCCCCAGGTCTCGCAAGAGCTCTCACTCTGACGCCATCCTCAAGCAAAATTAAATGTCATCCGAGGAGCCAGAGCTGATGGAGGGTCAGCCATCGTGGCTCTGTATTTTATGGTGTAAAAGTCGGGTTAAGCATCAGACCAGAAAGAGCCTATTTTTCCCCTCCTTTTGGTTTTTCCTCTTAGTTTTTTCTGAACAATTAGATTTTATAAACAACTTTTGGCACAGCTTCATTGGTTCTTTGAAATAAGGAAAGGAAAAGGAAAGAAAAGGCCTAAGAATAGGAATTTTGGAACTGAAAGAATCATTTATCTTAGAAATGAGGAAACTGAGGCTGTAGATGTGTTTGCCCACAGTCACACAACTGTGTGTGTGTGTGTGTGTGTGTGTGGTTTGTGGCTCTCCCCTCTGCTACCCGCTCCAGGGCTCCTTCCTGCTCCTGCCCCCCTGGCTGCCTTCAGTTCTCTGCCATGCCTAGCTCCTGCCCGCCTCAGGGCCCCCGAACATACTGCTCCCCTTACCTGGGTTAAGTCCCCACCATCCCTATCTTCATCTTAGCTACTCCTACTCATCTTTCAGTTCTTAAATGTCATTCCTTCAGGGCCATTCATTCTTGACCCTCCAAATTAGGGTCCCTGATGGACATCCCCGTGATACTACACCTATCCACGATTAATCATTTTTTAACATATCTCTCTTCTTACACCTATGAACTCTAAGAACATTGGAACCAATACATTCTTGTTCATCCTTATTAGCCCTTATATATAAACCCTTATGAGTGACAGCTCAGGACTTAGAATATGGTAAGCACTCATCAAATATTTATAGATAAATTTAATAAATATTCATTACATGTCAGATACTGCTTTGAGGATGTTACACATACTATTCATTCAATTCTCTAAACTCCATGAGATAGGCAGTAGTAATACTCCCATTTTACAGATGAAGAAACTGAGGCAGAGACCAATCAGGAACTTCGCCATGATCACACAGCTCATAAGTGGAAGGGTGGTTTAAAATACACACCATATGGCCTAGGTATCACTTATGGTAGTGGCTTTACAAATGGTCATGGTGACCTGCATGAGGACATAATCAATGCTTGGAACAAATATTAAAGAACAAGCCTATGAACATAGCGGGCCCTATTATAGGACTCTATGTAAGCATTTTCCAAAAGCATATGATAACAGACTTTATATTAATCATCTTTCATGCTCTGGTAGCAACAATCTCCAAAACCTCAGTGGCTAACAACACAAAATGTGTGTTTCTTGCTCATGTTGAATAGTGGCTGTGACTCTGCTCCAGGTCTTCTTGAATCTGGGCCCCAGGCTGCGGGAGCAGTGCCTACTTGAACCATGCCATTCTCCCAAATGGGAAAACAGAGAGGTGGTAGCACCACTGAGTGGCTCCTAAAGCTTCTGTTTAGTAGGTCATTACCATTCATGTTAAATTAAAAGGCCCAGGCTCATCGTT